ACTCAGCTGCCTTGCCTCCTACTGCTGGAAGAGTTCCTGTGACCTTCAAGCATTTGTGGCTATCTTGTGTGCCTGCCTGCCTGGCTCGGCACCTCTGGCGCTCAGGTGAACCCTTCCGTCCACCAGGCCCTCTGCTTCCCTCCTGCCCTGCCCAGCCTCTAGGGAGCCCCGCTTGTTCTGTTTGAGCTCCTGCTCCTCTGTCCCATGGGGAGGTGGGAGCCTGGGGTAGCCTAGGAATAGCCCAGAGCTTTTCCCTTTGGGGGGGGGCCCAGAATATAATTTCTGTGTGATAGATGTGCAGAAGAACGGATTAATATCTGCACAGTTTAGCAACCAGATTAAGACAACCACTTGGTGACTACCACCCAGGTCAAGAAGTTTTTATGCTACCAGACCCCAGAAGTCCCACAAAACTCTTACCCACACATAGCACCCCTCTCCAGAGGTCACTGGGATCCTTACTCTGTGCTATTCAGTTCCTTGCTGTCTCCGTGGACTGAGCCTACAAGAATACCTCAGACTTTGCCGTTTCGCTGTGCCTGATCTAGGACCCACCACTTTGAATCATCCACCTGTGCTTTGGGACTAGCAGGTGTTTGCACCAAGGCATTCTGTCTGTGGGTAGCGGGACTGGCGGTGGCTGGCTATCTAGGTGAGCGGCAGATGTTCCTCTGTGACCAGCTGCAATCTGTTCATTTTTTGATAGACAAGGCAGTTCCAGCCTGGACCACTTGGGCAGTGCTGCTGTGGACATTTTCACACAGCTATTCTGGGGTACTGGCTGCATTTCTGGATGTGTGGCCCGAGCACAACTGCAGGGCACATGGCATGCATGTGACCAGCTTTGGAAGATAACAGCCAATCGCTCTGCAGAGCATCTGCCAGTGGGGATGTCAGGTGTGGGCACAGGGCCTCTCAGTCCCTGGATTCCCACCTAATCAGAATACCTTTTTGGTGACTTCTGTGCATACTTTCCCCAAGGTGTCTGGCTTCTTTTTGGTTTGCAAAAACTCTGTATAGCCAGTTATGCACAAGGCAAGCCCCCCTCCCACAGCTGTTTGGTTCTCACTCCAAAAGGTTTTTGGATGAACAGAAGTTCTTTGTTGAATATCCCAGGCTTCGACTTTTTGACAAAAGCTTTCTGTGTCTTGTCTTCTGATGCCATGTCTTGGTTCACTTGAACTTGGTTGTGGTGGTTTGATGTTCAGTTTTTATTTCCAGTGTTTGGCACATGGACTGTGCAGCTTCTGTTAGCCTGTATGCTGATTCACTCATATGAGCTGTTTGTCATGGTCCTCCCCGGGCTAGATGCTGTTCTCCACACTGGGATTCAGAGGGGGATACTGGGCCTGCTCTGGAAACAGTCAGGTGATTATCAGGTAGCTTCACAGCTGTCCTAGTGTCCCCCTTCTCAGGGCCAACCTGCCCTTCCTGCTGCCCCCCCAAGTCCCTTGCACAGTACCAGGACCCCCAGGCCCAAGCCAAGTTGCCCCTCCTCACTGGGCCTGCCCTCCTTGGGCCCTTGGGGGTCCTTTTCTCCCCCAGGAGTCTCTGGCCTTGACCCTCTGGGTTGTTGCTGTTGCTTTAATTTGTTCATTGATCAAATATGCACTCAGCACATATTTATTTATTTATCACCACTATTTACCAGAGGGCAAAACCATCTGGCTAGAGAGGACAGACTTCTAAATAAATAAGTATTACAATGATAGGGGGTGTGGGGACAGAAATAAACAAGGGGGGCTGTGCGCTTCTGGGGATGGGGGCAATTCTGCATAGCTGGCCTACCAAGGCATTTCTGGAAAGACAGAGCAGAGTGAGGGTGGGAGTTCAAGGCAGGGAGAGACCCTGTAAGTGCCACAGGGGCCAGCTGGTCCTAGTGGAGGTGGTGGGATTCTGGATGATGGAAGAATCTAGCCAGCAGGGTCTACTTACAGGTGGATATAGGGTGAGGGAAAGGGGGTATTAAAGACAACTCTAGGTGCTTAGTTCCTGAAGGAAAAGGATGGGGCAGCTGTGAGGAGGTACAGACATGCCGGGTTGTGGGGGAGGGGTGCTTTCATTTAGTAGACCCCTGCTGCACACATACTCTAAGCTCCTCATGGAGGGTTGGGGACCTGACAGCTCTAGAAGAGGTGCTACCTAGCAGACCAGGCCCTCTCTAAGTTGAGAACTTTCAAGACTGCCCTACTTCTCAACCTGATCCTACTAGAGGAAGCCCGATGGGCTGGTGATTCTCACTAAGGTGTGAATGACTACCTCACTTTGATTTCTCCCTGACCTTGGGGGTCAGGACATTGTAAAGGGACCTACCATATGAACATCATGTTCTCTCTTCTCTTCTCTGCCTTGCCCTTCAGCACAGCTGAGTTTCTGTTCTTCTGCAAAGCCTCCGTAATGGAGTATGTGGTTAAGAAGATAAAGTAACCTGGTTTGAAACCAAGGTCTACCACTTACTGGCTGTGTGGTCAGTAAAGTAAATTTCTGGACCTCTCTGATCCTCAGTTTTCACATCTGTAAAATGGGCCCTTACCTTAGATAGAAGGCTGTTCTGAGAATAAAGTGTTCACATGAACCAGGCTCATGGCTGATGCTATAGGGGACTGCTGCTGCTGCTGGCCTCTCTCAGAAGCCTTTGCCCTGCTGGCGCTCTGGCTCCCCATCCACCTGGCAAGTGACATTTTTCTCACTGTGAAGGAAAGGACCTGAGTGAGGGAGGGAGACAGGGCGTTGAGGACAGGGGCCAGCCCTGCTACATTAACCATGGGCTCAGGACCTCAGCAGCCCAAGTGCGTGCCCCATCATTCAGGGGGCCCACAGACTCTCGGTTTGTCACCTGGTCAGGGTGCCAGGTGTCAAGGCCACCCTGAGACACCTGTCCTGAGCTGTGGCAGGCTAGAACTCCTCACCTGAAGTAGAGACAGAGATGGTGCAGGTTCGGGACATGTGAGGTTGTGACTAGGGGGCTGGGACAGGTCCTCATGCTTGGCCCCACACCCCAAATCCACAGGTACCAGCAAGGTGATGGTGTGTGCTTTTCTGGCCCAAGTGGTACGTGTATTCCATGTCTGGCAGGAAGAGGGAGGCCCAGGCTGTGGGGTCAATAGTGATGTTTGGGCTAGCCATCTGGGGAGGGTCACCCTGGCCACACAGCACCTGGGAACCCAGGAAGGAGGACCCAAGACCCTAAGGCCAGGACAGGCCAGGGCTGGGGGTGTCTGAACCTGGAGCAGCTTGGGTGGGGGGCCAAGCTGCTCCCAGGCCCCCAGGACAAGCCTTATATCTCAAGGGCATCTGTTCGCATTTATACATGGGGAAACTGAGGCTCCAAGGGCTAGGTGCTGCTCAGGACCCTCAGCTGCCCACCCCTCCTGCACCAGCTGGCCTGGGCCCACTCCATAGCCACACCACTAAGCAGAATGAACAGCCAGTCCATGGTGGACCTTCGTGGCCCCTCACGGATCTGGGGTAAGAATGGAGAGAGGTTCAGAGGACCCTCAACCCTGCTTCTAGAAGGAAGTTATGATAGTCACAAGTGCTCATGTTACAGCTGAGTAAACTGAGGCTCAGAAAAGCATCCTTCTCTCTCAGCTAGTGCCATCCTCCACCTACTGGCTGGTACTGAAATCTGCACCATAGCTGCCACCTCTTCCTTTAAGATTAGTTCCACCCTGGAGACTGTCTTGAGAAAGTGGGGGGGGGGGTGGTAGGTGCGGCTGGGGTGGAGGTAGGCACCCTGGGCGTCCCAGCATGGCCCTGACTGTGGGCTTAGGCTGGGGCAGGCCACTCATGCCCAGCAGGCCAGGTCACTGATAAGCATCCCCCCTCCTGATCAGCTTTATGACGGCCAGAAGTGGAGAAAACGGGCCTCCCACTGATCCAATTAATAAGTTTGCCCGGGTCTGTGCAGCAGAGAGCAGGCTGGTGGGGTGGCCAAATTAGCGAAGCCAGTGTGGGTTCCTCAGTGGCCAGTGATGAATGTGGTGATCAAAGTGTCAAATCACAGCCCTTCTGACCCAGGCCTGAGGGATGTGCAAGGTACTGGGAGCCCCTTGGAAGCTGCTATTGACTGTGACATCCTCCCTGAGGTCACGTATCCACCCATCCTCCCCTGCATACTGACTCTGGCTGGAGCAAACTTAGGGCCCTCTGGGCTCCCCTCCCCCTAGAGTAGGTGCTTGGTAAGCCCGGCAGACAGAGGTGAGGCAGCGAGGAGAATGTGGCCTGTAGTCAGGGAGTCACATTTGGGGTTCTCAACAGTGCGATGGTATCTGCTGTTGGGGGCCACCACAGGGTGTGGGCACACAGGGAAGGGGAGAGGCTAGGAGCCCAGCACCGAGGCATGCTGGGACATGTTAGGATAGATCAGGGTATGAGGAGCACCCCCTACCCCATGAAGGAGGCTGAGAAGGGGCAACTGGTGAGAGGTCAGGCAAGGACTGAGTAGGAACCAGCAAGATCCATTTGGTGGCCTGGAGGTGACAGGAGCTATAGGCATGGACCTGGCAGGATGGGAGACACATGGGATAGTGAGGACAGATAGCATTTCCAGGAGCAGAGCTGGGTGGTACCTGGAGGTCAGGAAAGGTCAGGGTTCTCAGTATAGGAAAAGTAGCCACCTGTTTGAGTGCTGGAGAGAAGATCTGGAAGGGAAGGGAAAACCAATGGTTGTAAGCTAGGGGACACAAGTCGCAGCTGTGTGTGGAGCTGGCAGAGGGCAGGCGGGGGCCCTAGTTCTGTCTGTAGTAACAGGCGGGAGGTGGCAGATGCTGGTAGGTGGCACGTGCTGGTGGCATCTGTGGAGGTTCCCCTTGGATGGCTTCATTTTCTCTTTGGAAAAGCGGGCGAGGTCATTGCTGCGGGTGAGGCGGGAGGAGGCGCGCCAGGAGGCAGAGCAGAGAGAAGTCTGAAGTTATTTTCCAGGCCCGTGGGGGCGGGAGGTGGCAGGATCTCCCAGTCAGTCTGCCCGATGTGTGGAAAGGGAGGCCTGTCACCTCGGAATGTGCTTCCCTGCCATCTGTGTGGGTGCAGGCGCCAAGTCTCTGAAGCAGGGAAAGGTGGCCCTCAGCAGAGTGGAGTTTGCCCTATCAGTGGCATGGGGAAAGAGGTGGGGAGGCTTGGCAGGAGCCATGCTGTCCATGGCTGCCAGCAAGGACGGGGCGAGCACCCCCATCCTTGTGCACGCCCCTAGCATTGATACAGCGAGGGGCTTCTGAGGGTGGGAGCCGGAGAGAGCAAAGGGTGCCAGAAGTGGGATTACTGCAGGGCTCCACACTGGTGAGTGCTCAGTGGGGCGTCACCTGGGCCTAATTGCTCCCTACCTGTAGGTAGAGCTGGCCCTCCCCGTGGCCACCTTACTTACTCTCGTCAGTGTCCCAGCAAGTGTGGATTGGGTGTCCCACATGCTAGGGTCAGTGGTGGAGCCCCATGGTCCCTGCCCCGCGCGGCACCAGAGCCCCTCCCATCTCCTATCCCTCTCCTTTCTGCAGGCCTCCAGGCCGGAAGAAACAGGCAGAGCCCAAGCTGAGGGACGGTCTGGAGGCCTGGTGGTGGCCCTGACTCACACCTGAAGCTCTGAGCTGTATGGCTACCAGGGGCCTGGGGGCCTTTGTCTAAAATCCAGGTCTGATGAAGACAGGTGGGGACAGTGGTGAACTGTGACCTGCAGAGGTGGGCATGTAGTAGACACAGGGATGATGCCCGCTGTCCTAGGCAGCCCTGCCCCCTCCCTCCTTCCTTGGGCTCCTGCTGTCTTTGGCCTCTGTGGGGCCAGAGTCCCAGTCTTTCTCTTGCCCTACTCAAGGGCTGCTGGGAGCTCAGGGCCAGCTGTCCTGAGACACCCAGCACATGACCATCTTGTACCTAGCCCTGCACGCAAAGAGAAGCCCTCACATTGCAAGTCTCTCGACCAGGTGAGAGGTCAGGGAAGCCTTCCAGGAGGAGGTACATGGAATAAACCAAAGACCAGACCAGGGGACATCCTCAGCAGGAGGGGAAGCATGTGCCAAGGCCCAGGGCTGTGGTCTACAGCTGCCCTGGACACCCCAGATCTGCCCACCCATGAGGGTTCACCACAGCTCTCAGCATGCAGTTGTCTCTTGGCAGAGACAGGGTAGTGGGGCAGATTTGCGGCCACCTGACAAAGTGAGGTGAGATGAAACATCTTCTGTGGCATCTCCTGGGTCCTGTCTCTGGAAGGAGTGAGTGTTAGAGCAGCCATGTCACCCGGGACCTGCCTGGCCACAGGTAGTGGGGGCGGGACCAAGGCCAACATCAAGTTATGGATTCCTGCACTCTATCAGGACCCAGTGGGGCTCACCCCCTCTCTGGGTCACCCCCCTGCTGTGGCCCAGGGCAGCACTGTGACGGGCATCACCCAGCACACACATGAATGTGTGCACACATACCTACAAATGTGCAAGAGAACGTACACATACACACGGATGCCAGCACACCTACACGTAGGTGCATGCATGCCCTTCCCCTAGGGGCTGTTGCACCAGAGCTTGGTGGCTGCCGTGACACTAGGCATCCTGCCTCCATGCAGGTTGAGTAGTCGATGTCATGACTGCAGAGGTCAGTCAGGAGCTACCTGGAGCTGGGCAGGTGTGTCTGCACAGAGCAGGGTAGGCATGGCAGCTGTCCTGCTGGTGCTGGGTCCGTCAGGTCTGAGGGACCACATACCTGGCTGGCCATGACCAGTCACTGGCCGCTTGCACCAGTGACCTCTTGACCTCAGTCTCTCCATGTCAAACTTGTGTTGGCCACTGACCTCACAGGAAGGCAGAGGGGTGCCCCTTGGTGATTATAGCATTGTGGGGGACACGGGGCAGCGAAAGTATGCAGTGCTGGGTACTGGGTTAAGATCTGGCATCTTCAGATTAGGACCCAGAGCTGAGCCCTAGCCAGGCCATGTGACCTGGGATGGACCCTGCTCCTTACCTCTGTGCCTGTCTCCTCCCCTGGAAAATGGGGGCAGGGCACACATGGTCCCTGCATAGCTGTCCGAGATATAAAGGTGTGTGCAGAGGACTGGATGGGTGCTCTGGAGATGGGGACTGTTTATCCTTCACCTGCCCTTGAGGAAAGATCCATCGAGGCATAGAGGGTGGGATCAGCAAAACCACAACCAGAGTTGAGAGGACACAGAGACATGCGGAAACATGGTGGCCTAGAGCAATGCTTGGAGGCACTTAAGGCTAAGGAGAGAGCTCTGCTCACCCATCCCTGAGGTTCTGTACACGGGGGTGACATGGTGAACTTCTTAGGAATGTTCAGGTGGTTCTGCATGGAACAGAGGCGGTTCTGCCTCCAGGTGCACACCGTCCCCAAGGAGTCAGCTGGAGGCTTAGCTGGGAGAGGATGGACTAGGTCTCTCGGGGATGGTGTCAGCAGGTAGAGATGTAACCTTCCTGACTACCCGCCCGCTCTAGGTGCTGGGAGGTGGTAGTCAGTCGTGAACATGAACACAGGTTCTGGTGGCAGGTCCCAAGCCAGGGGCAGGTGGCTGCTCCTCACTGGAACTACAGTGGGACAGGGAGGTCTTGGGGCCTTTGCTAGCCACCCCCACTTGGCCAGCCCCAAAAGAGGTCCTGCATATGAGCATGTGTCAGACCTGCAGCTAGAGCCAAGGTCAGCTTGGGCCTAGACCACACCCCTGCAGCATCCAGCCAGCTCATGCAGTGCAGAGTGAACAGGCAGGCCCACCAGTGAGATCAGTGGGCAGGTAACCAGGTAGCCACAAGTGTTCCCTCTGGGATGAGATGGAGTAGATTGTCCAAGAAGGCAACCTTCAGGTGGAGACTGGCTTGGAACAACTGGGAAGGAGTGGCCCAGGCCCAGGGAACATGAAAGACAAAAGCTCTGAGGTAGAAGGAGGAAGTTCAGGGGGACTTGAAAGTTACACGTTCAGGGGTGGTGGGAGCCAGCGTGGGTGGAAGCTGGGGTGGTGGTGGGACTCAGGGGGCCTGGTTGGGGTGAGAAGTTGGCCTTTTAGTCTAGGTACAGCAAGGAGCTGCAGAATTGTGACCAAGGCAGAATGTGGTTTTTTCTTGTGTTCAGAAACGAGTCATCTAGCTGAGTGGAGGGAGACTGGAGTTGTGTGTTGGGGGGTGGGGGACCAAGAGACCTGGGTACCTTTGCACTTGGCGATAAGCAGGATGGTGACTCAGTCCCAATACCACCGGCGACCAGGGAAGCAGCCACTGACCTCCGCCTGGTAGAGAAGGGCAAGCTAGGGTTCAGGGCCCTCCAGGTTCTGGGTGGAGAGGAGTTAACCTGGGGCAGGAACAAGCGAGATCCTGGCAGAGGGGACACAGGGACAAAGTCACCAAGATGAGAAAGTGCCTGCAGCATGTGAAGAATGACAAGCAATTTGGTGTTGCTGGAGCATGACTGTCGGGCCCAGGCCTAGATGAGACCATTGGCGAAGACAAGCTGTGCCTGCGGATGTGCGGCCGGGTCCCAGAGGGCACCAGGGACAACAGGCAGGAGCAACCCCCTGGTCCTTGTATAACTGTGGGACAGTGACTCGGGAGCCCAGCCCCACCCCATCACCATGAAGACCAGCTGGCAGCTGGCGTGCAGACCTGGGTATGACTCTCCTGCAGAACAGGTGGTTCAAAATGATGAGAGGGACCCAGAGCCTCTAGCCAGGGACCAGACGGGCTTCCTAGAGGAGGAGGTGTTTGAACTGAGCATCCCAAGAAAGGAACAGTGCATCTGGGATTGCAGAGCTGGGAGGCCCTGTGGAGGGGACAGCATGGCTAGTTTGGAGCATGGACTTGAGGACCATAGTTGGGGGACTCAGGAAGAAATGGGGATGGTGTTCCTTTCAGCAGTGGGGGAAGAGGCTGGCTCAAGAGCCTTCAGGCAAAGTGTGTGGTGTTGGGTGTGGCAGGTGAGGCTGGAACCTTCTTCCTCGCCCCTTTTTAAGTACTGGAGCAGGGCAGAGGGCAGCCACAGGTGGCCGTGGCCTTCTCTGTCTGAGATTGGTGGTGATGGTGCCCTTCTTTGGCTGCTGTGAGGTTGGAGGGCTACCTGGTCCGTGTCTGCTGCTTTAAGTGCCCTGCACTGTGCTCCAACCCCCAAGGACCTGTGCTGGTCACTAAAGCTGCTCAAAGCTGGTTTGGCTGGTCCCCAGGCAGTCCCCCAGGGAGGCAGGCAGACATCTGCTTTCAGATGACCCTCAGCTGTTCCCCAAGGTCCACACCCCAGGAGGAAGTCTATTCCAGGCAAGCAGGAAAGTAGCATGTGCCCTCCTGGCTCCCAGAAGGTACCCGCCCCCTCTCCTAAAAGACATGCAGGGCAGGGCCACACCTGCTACCCCAGGGAAGACACCCACGTCCATGCTGGTGGCCTGGGATTACCAAGGCCAGGTCTCAGGGCAGTCAGCCTTGGTGGCCGGGCGCCAAGCCTCTGTCCATCTTTCTGCCAGCAGGGGTGGGAAGAGGGTCCCATGTACCAGCTGAGGGTGACAGACTGGTTGTACCTAGGCATGTGGCTCTGCCACAGCATCTCCTGCCGGGGCAGTGGCTATTCCTGTTGACAGCCAGTGGGAGAAATGGGTGGGTGGGCCCAGTGGGAGGCATTGACCTCCCTTCCATGCTGCTTTCTGCTCCCCTCCAAATGCCACAGGTCACTGAGCAGCACCAACTTCTTCCCCCTCTTCTTTCCCAGCAGCCTGAGGAAGGGGGCCTGCCTGGTTTTCATCTCCTCCTACTAGAGAGTTGCTGTATGATGTTGGAACTGTGGTTTTACCTCTCTGGGCCCCACTTTTTTTGGGGGAGGTGTTCCCCATGCTACAGATTGCAATGAGAATATCCATTTGTGTTATCTGGCTCAACACGAGTGGGTTATCTATCAATGGTGCCTAATAGATGCCCTTGCATGACCAGAGTCAGACATCCTCAGCTACTCACAGCCCAAACAAGCCCCAGCCCTTCCTTGGGCCCTGATTCCCCTAGCTTCCAGCCCTCATCCAACTCTGAGCCGCATCACAATTCTAAAAGCTCACCTACTAGGAGGCCCTCTGTGGAAGGGCACTGGGGACTCAATAAAGGCTGGGAGGAAGTCACCCATGGCCATTGCTGGCCCCCATCAAGCCACCCAGGGAGACTGGGTGTTTCTGGCCACTCAGAGGGAAGTTCCCACCATCAGCTCACTCCACAGCATTGGGATTGTTTGCCGAGGTGGCTTCTGGGATAGGATTCTGCCAAGCCACTGCCCTCCCCTAGTCCTTCCCAGTCCATGCCAGAGCCTCGCAGTCAGCTTGGGAAATAGAGCAGTGTCCCATTTTGTAGACAAGGAAACTGAGGCTCCCAGAAGCAATAGCCAGTACTGGTCTCAGGCTGAGAGCTCTCCCTGACTTCTGCCAGTTCAGTCCACCACACTGATGCTTGTGGGGACTTTTCTCTCTCTCTCTCTCCTTTTGTTTTGTTTGTGTGTGTGTGTATATGTGTGTGTGTGTGTGTCAAACTTTGGTCCTTAGTAAATTTTTTTCTGATTTTTCATCTGTAGAAAATATGACAAATCAGAAAAGTATACAAATGTTTTCAGTTCCCCAGCATCCCGCCATCCGGGCGTAACAAATGAGCATTTCTCTCCCTCCCCGATGTTCTGTGGCAGTTACTCTTTTTAACGGGATTATGCCACTCGCTCTCAGCACGCGCCTCTGCTGTGTCCTTAAGTGTCTTTGAAAGTCTGGTTTCTGGGCCAGCCTCAGAGCTGGTGGTGGTGAATCGGCCTCTCTCAGCAGGAGCCCGGTCTCCCGATTTGGCCCCCAGGAGCAGCAAGGCTGCCCTGAGCACGTGTCTGGACACATGTCTGCACAGCCAACTCTAGGAAGGTGCTGGCTGCACAGCATACATTGAGGCTAGCATGTGTCCTGTTGTCCAGCAGGGCGGCGCCAGGCCTGAGTCCTTTCTCACACCACCCATTGTCTAGTCCAGACCAGTCACAGGGATGGCTGAGTGGGGTCCCAGGGCAGGATGAAGAGGGCCCCAGACCCCTACTATCTCCCAGCTCGCCCCACCAAGCACACAGATCACACCTACAGCTCTGTATGGCTAGCCATCATGGCCTCCCTGACCAGTAAGTCTGCACACCAGGAGCCAAGCCAGACGGGCCCAGTGATGGAACGGAACAAGCCTTAGTAGACCTAGGGTAGCAATGGGAAGACTGCCACTTCCCCTGAAAGTAAGACGGCGGATGCAGGCCTGCAGGTGGAGACCAAACACCAGAAATAAATCCCAGCCAGTGACGGGGGACCCTGCCATGGTGGGACTTGGTGCCGCCAGTGAGGTCAGACCCTTTAAAGCAATCAACAAGCGCTGTAGGCATACAAGCAGGCCCTCCTCTGGTTCCTGCCTGTCACCTCTGCCACCCTATAGCCCAGAGGCTCTTCAGCTGGGTGAATGGTGCCCCATCTCCCTTGTTCTCAGCTGAGGGTGATGGCTGGGCACCCTACACCAGGCCTGGCACGGCCTCTGCCCTGTCCCCCACCCATTCTGAGCAGCTCTGTCCTCTTTACCCACAGGCTGCGCAGCCCCTGGGTGCCCTCGTGCCTCGGGCAGCCCCGAGTCCTGCAGGGCCGCCTGGCCAGGTCCTCACCCTCGCTGTGGGACAGGTAATAAACCTGTTGTTTCCCCTTCCTGCCCCCACTCCGCGGTGTCTCTGCATCTGTCCCTAGACGTCTCTCCCTTGTCTGTGTCCACTTCCCTCAGACGGACGGGAGGCTTAGAGAAGGGAAGGGTCTCCCATCCTGGCATCCCCACATCCAGTCATCCCCACACCTGGCTCTGTCCTCGGGCTGTGAGTGGCCAGAGGGGCTGTGGAAGGAGGGAGACTCATCCTGCTCTGCACCGTGAGCTTCCTTTGGGCACCTGAGACACGCCCACTGCCAGGGTGGGTCACTTCCTGCCTTCATTTATCAGGACACAGACCAAAGGGAGAACCTCTGCAAGCGGCAATCTCAGCACTGGCTGCTCGTGGCTCTACAGCCTCCTTCACCCCCACGCTTCTGTTAACAGGCTGTTTGCAGGTGCTGGGGAATCCCCACACAACTGCACCTGTCAGGCCATATCCTCAACACTGGGAGCCCAGGGTCCTGCAACTTCTCCCAGCTTCCCAGTGGCCTGGCCGTCCCCACTCTCCTGAAACAGCACCTCCCATATCATCTCTTTGTGCCGGGCAGTTCTGGTACTCAGAGTAGGGACCACCAGCAGCCCTTTGGTGTGCCATCCTGCTTTCCAGACAGAAAGAGGCCACAGCTAAGGAGGGCTCAGGTTAGTGCCCTGGGAGGACACTGGGCAGGGTCCTCCCTGTCCAGAGCCTCTGAGAAGCTGCACCCCCACAAGACTTGGTGGCCAGCTGTGAGGATGAGGAACCAGGAGGATGCAGCCCTCCCCAGGTGGGGAGTGTAGAGGACAGAGTGAGGGCATGGTCTGCATTGGATGGTTGAGTGAGAGATGCATGAGGCCATCAGGTGGAGCCCAAGAGAGGCCAGGTGGAGGTGAGGCCTAAGAGGGGTCCATGTGAGACTGGGGTAGAGAGGATTTGGCCTTGGTCGTGACTGGAGAGGTATAGAAGCAAGCCAGGCTTTGAAGAGCATCCTGGGCAAGGGCATGGTCTTCAGATGAGACTGTGCCAGAAGGAGGGGACACCCAGGACAGGGGAGCCCCTAAAGCATATGGGCTTGAGGGGAGGGATGCAGGTTCAGCAGGTGGCCGAGCACCAGCCTGTGAGAGGCTTCCAGGGAGTGAGTGCAGAATTTGAGGACTGATGGAACAGGGAGTCATCCAGTGTGTCTGAAAAGCCACTAGGAGGCCAAGGGTAAACTGAGGCTCTGTGGAGCCAGTAACCCTTGGGTGGGTGCCAGCTTTGCCCAGAGCCCACCGTAGAGCCCTTTCTCACTCCCTTCCCAGCCTACACCATTGGTGGGTCTGTTCTGCCATTGTCTGAACAGTAGACTCTAGGCAGGACCATGGGGTTCTACTCCCGCTATGAGGTCCAGAACCAGGTGGGTCCAGAAGGGGAATGAAAGGGTGTCATGGGCTGAGTGCCATCAGTAAAGGCAGGGTCCAATCCGTGAGTGAGGGTAGGTGACTGAGGGTGATGCTCTGGGGCGCCTCATGGAAAGTAGGGTCTAGAAAGGGGCAGGGCTGGGTGTGAGGGCCCAGTGAGTGGCAGGCACAGCTGGAGGAGAGGTGAGGTGAGGAGTCATTCGGGCTGAGGGGACCACATGGGCGATGGCCAAGGCTCTCACCTCTTCCCAAAAATATAGACCCTGCCTGTGTCCTCTGACCAAGAACCCCTGCAGGGAATCACCAACTTCTAGGTTGCTGCCCATCCCAACCCAGACACTGTGCCTGTGCAGAGATCTCTGTGTGATGTGGGGGTGATGTGGGTGCTCAGGAAGCCTGCCACACAACTGAGAGGAAAAGCCTGTACAGCCGGGGGCCATTGGGCAGTCTGTACTCTGGCTACAAGGTTGGAAGGTGGGGCAACCCAGGAAGGCTGCCTGGAAGAGGTTGAGCTAGGCAGCAGAGACACCTGGCAGCAAGGCCTACGAGGGCAGTGTGGGGCGCCTTGCCTGGGGAATTTCCTTGTTACTCCACATCCTCTTTTAGGGACTGACTTTTGGGCAGACCTGCCCCACCCTTCTCTGAGGTTTTCAAAAACATAAGCAATTCTTTATTTTAATTTACTTTTTAAGAAATACAGATCTGGGCAGCAATCCAAGAATACTTAATGGAGGTTTTCTGGGTGCATGCCCATGCTAACACATGTGTTTACTCACAGGGCTGGGATTGAGGATGCTTCTGACAGGGGCGTGCATAGTTGTGGCCTTGGGGACTGGGAGACACCTGCCTGCCTGCCCACCCTTCACACCCCTCACTGGGTTTGAGTCAGGGAGGTCCCAAGAACACAGGCTGTTACCCAGGCTCTTACCCACTCTGGGGCATGACCCCTGCGGCCCCTCCATTGTTGGGAGTCAGCACTGGGTACTCACATCCCCCACCTCACAGCAAACCCACCCAAAATTCCCATCCCCCACGTATCACTGCCCTGCTCCCTCCCACCCAGCCACAGAAGGTGGCCTCTGCCGTGGGGAGTTCACAGCCAGCCCCCTGAGGTGTGGCTTCCCACCGTGCCCCTCCTGCCTAGTGCCCAACTTCATTTAAGGTGACTTGGCGGGTGGCTCAGAAGGGTGGACTGTACTGTGTGCTGGTGGGGCTCAGCGTTCTGGGGGTGCCCATTCTGCAGGGGAAGCGTGGGGCCTCTCTGGGTTTCCAAAGGCTCCCTGGGGGAAGAAGGCTCGAACACACTGAGCCTTTGCAGATGCTGCAGACTGGGGCAGCATCCAATGCTGCATGCCACTTCACTGGCCACCGTGGTGGGTCCTGCTGGGCACGGGGCATCACCACTGACTCTCTCCTTGGCCCAGAGAGGTCACACAGCTGATTGTGGGAAGGGAGGTCTGATTGAGGGGCACGGCACTGCGGCTCCAAGCCTCAGTGTCCCCACACTGTCACTAACAGAAGTCACCGCTGGTCACTGTTGTGCCATGCAGGGGTCTGATGGGTGACGAGGCCTGGGGGACCACAGGTGCTATATATCAGGATTCTCCAAGCTGCTCCAACCTTCTGTCAAGGTTGTGGGATCAGTAGCTCCTCCAAGTGATGCCTCAGGGATTTCCCTGAGGCAGGGGCACTGGTGGAGGCTGAGCCTGGACAGACTGGGGCAGCACCAGAATCTGTGACTCCTGGGTTCCCCTAAGTCCTGAATGCTGCCGCCACTGGGAGAATGGGGTGTGTGTGTGTGTGTGTGTGTGTGTGTGTGCACGTGCGTGCGCTCATGCTTGTGTGTGTGCACTTGCATTTGTTGAGGCCTGGCCCCCGCCCCATCCTGCGTGGGCCTCAGTTTCCCTCGCTTAGCGCCCCAGCCCCGCCCCCCGCCGCGTGTCATTGCAGCGCGCTGCAAGAGCAGAAGGGCGAGCTGCGCAAGCGGCTGTCCTACACCACGCACAAGCTGGAGAAGCTGGAGACCGAGTTCGACTCCACGCGTCACTACCTAGAGATCGAGCTGCGCCGCGCGCAGGAGGAGCTGGAAAAGGTCACGGAAAAGCTGCGCAGGTGAGGGGGGACCTGGTGAGCAGGTGTGAGAGCGCAGCCCCTGGATCAGGGGGGAGCTGCTCACTCCCAGGCGGATGGGGACTTGAAAGTCAGACTTTGTGCTGAGAACCAGGATCGGAGCTGGGTCAGGCTCTTCTCACATCCCCTCTGGAGACCCAGCTCTATGTCTTGCTCATTCGTGCTCTCATTTTCCCTGTGGCAGCAGCAGGTCACAGATGTGGCCACCTCAGACCCTGACTAGGCCACTAGGGTGCCCCCACCCTACTGGAAAAGTGATGTCTAGCCCTGGAGATGAGGCTTGAGTTTAGGGGCTGTTCCTTGAATGTTGAGCGAGGTGTACCAGACTCTCCTAAAAACCACATTTTTCTAAAAATTTTTTTTCTGCACATTTAAGATGAATATTTTTCTAAAATGTATTGCATGCATTCCTGTCTTAAAGAGAATACAAACTTTGCTGTTGGTTTAGTTTGTTTTAAATATTTAGAGTGCCAGCTGGTGCTACCCTGAGGGAGGATTTGCCAGCAGGGCTGTTTGTCCCTCCCTGAATGGCCCCATTCTGGGCTTTTGAATGTCACCATGGAGCTGTGTAAAAAGGAAGCTTGAGCAATGCAGCCGGGCCTTGGTTAAGGTCCCAGCTCTGGCACTGCTTTACACACCTTTTTGTGTCTGTTTCCCATTGGCAAGATGGGCAATAACACTATACAAAGGTTGTCTAGAGGATGGACACTGTCCCCAAGCCCTCTGCCACCGGCAACAAAAGCACAAAGCACCTGATTCGCACCTAACACTTGGCTCCACCCCTTCTTTCACTATTCTGTCTCTGATATTCACCTATCATTATATTAAGTCTTTCCCTGCTAACTTGCACTTGAGCCATAAACCACACAGCATGGCTTGTAAGTCCTGTATGTTAAATCCAAGGGAGTTTCCCTGGCGAGGACCTGACATCTCTTGTGAATGACAAGCTTTCCTGTGTTACCTTCAGGGGGTCCTAGTGTGGGTGAAACAGAGGAATACCCATCCTGGACTCTGGCCTAGGAGGAGCCCTGACAAAGTTAGCTTTAAGCAGATCTTTCCAGCTCTGGGTAGAGAAACACACATTCACCTGGGGAAGTAGGTGACTCACAAAGTCACCAGGGTTATGGGAAAGTCAGGCCATGCACAGCATGACCCCCTTGCCTCCTACTGCAGGATTCAGAGCAACTACATGGCGTTGCAGAGGGTCAACCAGGAGCTAGAGGACAAACTGTACCGCATGGTGAGCCATTGACGCCATTCCCCACCCATCATGCCGCCCCTAGGCTCGTGGGGGAGAGGCTGGGGATGGGGGAGGGGGAGAGCAGTTACTGGCCTGTCAGTGGTGGGGTCAAATCTGAATCCAGGTCACCCTGGGGCCTTGGAACCCCTCATCATCAGTAGCTATCAGGCACATGGAGACCTAATCCAACCACTGAGCTTTAACATCAGGTCTCAGGCTGGTCTTCTGGGAGCTGACCACTGACCACTGACCCTTCTGCCGTCCCCCATTGCCCAGGGTCAGCACTATGAGGAGGAGAAGCGTGCACTGAGCCATGAGATTGTCGCCCTCAACAGCCACCTGCTGGAGGCCAAGGTGACCATCGACAAGCTGTCAGAGGACAACGTGAGTGCTTTGTGCATTTGGGCCACAGAGGGCTGCAGTGGGCACTGATGGAGGTTTCCCAGGAAGCACAGGCAGGCAGGCCTGTTCTGACTCAGGTGCCAGCCTGAGTTGGAACAGGTAGATGGACAGTTGAGGTGGTAAAGCCTTCAAGGAGTTGTTGGTGCAGCTGGGGAAGGACAGGTGGGCTGCCTCATTGGACCACACTGCCGAGGGCATCCCAGACAGACCCTCTGCTAGAAGGCGTGGAGTTAGGAAACATGAGACCATGTCATCCCTTGCAAGACATGCTACCTGACCCCAGGCTGGGGGCCTGGGCACTCAGGACTCCTTCTTTCAGGCAGCCTGTCATATCAGAGCTGTGTGGTCATCCATACAGCCTGAGTTTAAGGGCCCCATGAAATGGCCCAGCTACTCTCCCCAGACCCCTGACAGCCCACTAATTAATGAATTCACTAATTAACATCTGCTCCTTGCCAGATCCTACTAGGCTCTGAGAACAACACAAGCAAAAAGAAAAAAAAATCCCTTCCCACATGGAGTTTACATATGCGTGAGGAGGACAGACGTAAACTAAACGACCACACAAATGGGGAGTGCTAAGTGCCCAGAGAAAATTCAGGGTCTGCAAATCTCTCTGGGGGTCTTGGGGAAAGGCTGCCTGAGCCAAGACCTGAAGGAAGTGGAGGAGCCAGCCACACAGACATCTGGAGGAGGACCATTCCTTCCAAGCTAACAATATCGCAGGGCCAAGAGTACGCCTTAGAGAACAGCAAAGGCTGGGAAACCAAGGGGCAGGGGTCTCAGGCCCTAAGGCCTAGGTCTAGGCTTCTCTCAGGAATCTGGGCTTTATTCTGAGTGAAATGAGGACCACTGAGGGGTTCCGAGTACCTCAAGTTTTACTGGGCTGCTGTGCTATATGAGAACAGACCATAGAGGGATGGGGCAGGGGCAGGAAGATCAAAGAGGAGGCCTGGGCAGCAGTCCAAATGGAAGATGATGCAGCTCAACCAGGATGGTGGCAGGGGAGAAGGGCAAATTCTCCAAGTCTGATTGTATTTTGAAGACAGAGTTCTGGCAGAAATTTGGGATGTGGAGTGTGAGGGACAGAAATGATTTGGCCCAGCTGCAGGGTTCAGAGTCTAAACAGCAGGCAGTGCCCACTGCTCCCTAGCTGAGGACAGGTGTGGGGAAGGTGCAGATGTGGCAGGGATGGGATTCAGTTCAGGAAGCACATGACTCACCCAGAGGAGTGGTCATGAGGGCAGTCGGATACCACAGGGGAGAAGTGGGGGGCCCCAGGAGGCAGGGACTCTCAGAAGTCAGGTTAACAAGAAGAACCAAGAGGCCAGCAAGGGGGGACACCAGGCAAGTGTGGTGGCCCCAAAGTCACGTGGGGAGGGTGCGGCCCTCAGCCAGCTCACCAGCTGGGTCACTGACAAGGGGTACTGAGAAGTGACCTTAGGATTTGAAGACTTGGAGGTCACTGGCTGAGAGGCATGAGGCCCCTGCTAGATGCAATTCCCAAAAAAGGGGAAGAAAGGGGAGGAAAGGCCCAAAGCAGACGACTAGTGCAGGAGTGTGGCTCTGGCAGGAGGCCCAGGACCATAAACTTTCCTAATGGACCTTTACGTAAGCTGCCCCACTTCCGGCACATCTCTGCAGGGACGGTGACCAGCCAGCTTCCCAAGTTACCTAGGTGGTCACTCAGAGGCAGAGCCAGAATTTGACTGAATTCTTTTAGCTACACCCAGATTCTCAGAGTCTGGTGCTCCATCCTCTACTCCGCCCTGAACTAGCATTGTGGCCCTTAGGGAAGGCTACCAGATGTGCCAAACCTCACAGCCTCAAACACAGTCCAGGAGCCTCAGTCAGTGTCCAGCCACAGTAGCATCTGCCCTCTGGAGGCCATGTGCATGACAAACTCTCCAAGGTCACCTGCTACTTACTATTGCTAGTAGAGAGCCCAAGGACTGACCTGGGCCAGCTGGGCAGTATTCATGGCCTCTGGTGCCAGTGGAAGCTCGGCTGGGGTCTCACAGGGAGCCAGTTCTCAGTTCTAAACCAATGGTGCTGTTGCTAGGAGGCCCAGGGAGGCGTTAAGGGGTAGGGGATCTAGATCCCTTCTACCATGCAGCCTGTGCAGAAGACAAATGAGGGAGACTGGGGAGGGCAGGAAGGAGTGCCCATGCATGGGCAGCCTGGCGTGAGCTCAGGGTGCTGGTCCTGATTGAGCCAAGGCTATGGCAGTAGCCTGGGCAGGACACCCATGGGCAACACAGGTGGGCCACAGGCATGCCAGGCAGCCCCCTACTGTGGGTCAGAGCCTGACTGTTGGCTCCTGTCAGGGCAGGAGCAAAAGCCCCAAAACAGGCACATGCAACAGAGATTTCCAAAGGCACAAGCAACCCCCTGAGTCCTACTGTTTGCATCTGTTTTCAGCTCAGGAAGCTGAGCTAATCCCTGCCTGCACCTGGGATCACACATCTGCCCCGACCCCAGCCCAGCCCAGCAGCCAGCCCAAGGCCAGGCCATGCTCTGAGGATGGGGTATGAGCAGCAAGTCTGAGAGATGGAGGTGGCAGGGCTGGGTTCCATCCCTGCCCCGCATTTGTGCCTGGCACTCCTACCAGGTCTTCTTTGGAGGGCCTCCAGGTAGGAGGCCAAGGGGCAGGGAACCCAAACCCAGTGGACAAGCTGGGGGCCTCGAGGAGCTCAGAACTGATGCACCACTGCCCACCCTGTAGGAGGACCCCAGGGAGCTCATTGGTTAGAGGAGGGCTGCCTGGCAGGACCCCTTTGGTGCACTGGCTGCTCCAAGTCAGACAGGCTCTGCTTTGTGGTAAGAGTGGAGCCCAGAGAGGGATGGTACTGGGAGTCAGACCTCATCCTGCTAACCGCACAGCTGGCTCTGCCCACTCCTCCCGTTGCCCTGCTGGCCACTTGGCACTGGCCATGGAGGCAAGGACCTGGTCAGGGCCGAGCTGCGCCCAACGCCTTCTCTTGTCTTCTAGGAGCTCTATAGGAAGGACTGCAATCTAGCGGCCCAGCTGCTGCAGTGCAGCCAGACCTACGGCAGGGTCCATAAGGTGTCCGAGGTAACGTGACCCCACCCTCAGCCAGGCCCACCCTGCCCCAGGACCACTATGGGCTCCTTTCGGGCCGGTCCCACCCTGAGGCTACTCCCCACCCTTGAGGAGGAAGATGCTGGGTGAGCCTGAGCCCCTTGCCTCTCCCTGCCCCTGCTCGTGCCTGCGGGTCCTAGACTTCGTGATGGTGACATGCATCCTACCTCCCCAGAGCCCCATGGGCCACTTGGACTGCCTGTTCCCCCACAGCTTCCTCCGGGGGCTGCTCTGTGTCCCTGGGTGTGACATGGCAGAGCAACCCTGTGTCATCTCACAGCAGCCCTGTGGTCTGGGCATAGTTACAGAGACAAGAAACAGACTTGAGCAAAAGGGGTCTAGCCATGGCCACAGGGCAAGCAGTTAGCAGAGCCCATCTGTGACTGCCTCTAGAGCTGGTCTATGGGCCCCACCCAGACCAAGCTGTCCGCACCTGTCCCACATGTGAATTTCCCATCCATGTTCCCATCCATGTTCCCTTGCCCCGGGCCTGACCACATCTGAGACACTCACAAAATAGATCAAACAGTAGCGGGACGTCTCCCACATGGCACCAGGTGCGCAGAAACCACAGGGCACCTGGTTCTGGCCCCTCAATCTTTGTTGCATCTGTTTCTGAGTCTGTTTGTTCAGCAGCACATGGGCAGCATGACTGGGGTGGGATGTCCTGTGTTCCTCGTGGACCTGAGACAGCACTGCAGCCCCTCAGTGGGCGGGAACTGGGAGTGGGTCCAGCTTCTCCAGGCTGACTGCTGCCTCTGGGCTGTGCCAGCCCCACCGGAGTGGGGTGGGTGGACGGAGATGATCAGGGACCCCCAGGTGCTGGCAACGCCCACATCCTTAGGAGCTTGTTAAGTTCAGCATCCTGGGCCCTGACTCCAGGATATGGAGTGTGCTGTGAGAAATCCAAGAGGTCCCTGCCGTCTGTCTGTCTGTCTGCCTATCTACCTGTCGGTCATGCTGATGAAGGTTCACAGCTTCGGGGGCAGGGCTGGGCCATTGGGCTGACTGTGACCCCATCCCCACCCTCTTCTCCTCCTCACCCGGTTCCAGCTGCCCTCGGACTTCCAGCAGCGTGTGAGTCTGCACATGGAGAAGCACGGATGCAGCCTGCCCTCGCCGCTCTGCCACCCGGCCTACGCGGACAGCGTCCCCACCTGTGTCATCGCCAAGGTGCTGGAGAAGCCTGACCCCACCAGCCTGTCCTCCCGTCTGTCGGATGCCTCAGCCCGAGACCTGGCCTTCCGCGATGGGGTGGAGAAGCCAGGCCCCCGGCCCCCGTACAAGGGGGACATCTACTGCAGTGACACGGCCCTCTACTGCCCTGAGGAGCGGCGGCATGATCGGCGGCCAAGCGTGGATGCACCTGTGACCGACGTGGGCTTCCTGCAGGCCCACAACTCCACCGACAGCACGGCCGAGGAGGAGGAGGCCGAGGCGGCGGCCTTCCCTGCGGGCTTCCGGCATGAGGCCTTCCCGGGCTATGCGGGCTCGCTGCCCACATCCAGCTCCTACTCGAGCTTCAGTGCCACCTCCGAGGAGAAGGAGCACGCGCAGGCCAGCACCCTCACGGCCTCGCAGCAGGCCATCTACCTGAACAGCCGCGACGAGCTCTTCAACCGCAAGCCGCCTGCCGCCGCTGCCACCTACGACGGCAGCCCACGCTTTGCCAAGGCCACAGCTGTGGTGGCGGCCCCACTCGAGGCCGAGGTGGCCCCAGGGTTTGGGCGGACAGTGTCTCCGTACCCGGCCGAGTCCTTCCGCTTCCCGGCCTCGCCGGGCCCCCAGCAGGCCCTGATGCCCCCAAACCTGTGGAGCCTGCGGGCCAAGCCAGGAAGCACCCGGCTGGCCAGTGAGGACGTTCGAGGGCAGTGGCGGCCCCTGAGCGTGGAGGACATTGGTGCCTACTCCTACCCGGCTGGCACTGTCAGCCGTGCCTCACCCTGTAGCTTCTCTGAACGCTATTACGGTGGCAGTGCAGGCAGCCCAGGCAAGAAGGCCGAGGGCCGCACCAGCCCCCTCTATGCCACCTACAAGGCCGACAGCTTCTCGGAGGGTGACGACCTCTCCCAGGGCCACCTGGCCGAGCCCTGCTTCCTGCGGGCCGCTGGCGACCTGAGCCTCAGCCCCAGCCGTTCAGCCGACCCGCTCCCTGGCTACGCACCCAGCGAGGGGGACGGGGACAGGCTCGGAGTGCAGCTGTGCGGGGCTGGCAGCAGCCCTGAGCCTGAGCATGGCTCCAGGGACTCCTTGGAGCCCAGCTCCATGGAGGCCTCACCCGAAATGCATCCTGCCGCCCGCCTCAGCCCCCAGCAGGCCTTCCCGCGGACTGGCAGCTCGGGGCTGAGCCGCAAGGACAGCCTGACTAAGGCCCAGCTCTACGGAACCTTGCTCAACTGAGCGTCCAAGCAGGCCGCTGCCACGGGCCCTCCACCCCACTCCTGGCCCAAACACTTGACACCTAAGAAGGTGCCACTCCCTCCCCAGACACTGTACTACCCCAACCCCCTGCCAAGGAGGACGCACTCCTCCCCAGCACCCCTCACACCTAGCCCAGTAGAGCCTGAGAGGAGGACCCTCTCCGCGTTGTGTGTCTGTCCAGCCCCAGCCACTACCACGGCACCCCTACTTAGACGTTTCACACTCCGATGCCCTCCCCACTCGAGGTGATCATCCTCCCTTTTATAAAGTGAAACTATTTTTATAGAGAAAAAGGGTCTTTCTTTCTTAACGCACTTGGCCTCCAGCTCCTGGATGGCAGCCTCGGCGTTTCCAACGCAAAGCTCCTTCGTTTTGCCGGTGAGGGCGCAAGGGGCATGCCCCAGGCAAGGGAAAGGAGTGGCCTGCGGAGACCAAGCTCTACAAGGAGGGAGACACCCAGCAATTCAGCAGCAAGGGACTCCTGAGGCTCTGTCCGCCAAGAGGGGAAATGAAACCAGTTAGGGCATAGGAAGTATTTTAAAAATCTTTCTCACATTGTGGCCAGCACATCACCCTGAGCTCTCCCATGGCCTCCCGGGTGGGGCCCGCATCCCAGTACTGCCGGTGCTCGTTCCTCTCCCACCCCTGCTCCTGACACCACCTTACTCTACCTCAGACATATGAGGCCCCTCCAAGCCCTGCATTCCCTTCATCTGTGATGCATGCCTGTCCTGTTAGTACTGTATTTTGCATTCATTAATAAAAGACACCAGTGGAAAGAATCCGGGTTTGGCTTGTTTCTTCTCCCCGCTACCTAAGGTCTCAGGGGCAAGAGCCCGTGGTCTCCCTTGGCCTTGCTCTCAGCCAAGGTGGGCTTGTTCCCTTTACACACAGCGTCACCCCAGCCAGGCACCCAAGCTCTTGCCTGCTGCTGGAGTTCTGCCCAGCGCTTTGCTCTGGCCTGAAGTAGAATTTCCTTTAGTGCAGTCTGCAGGGTCTCTGGGGTGTGTGGAGCTTTTTGTTCTTGTTGAGATGTGGATGTGGTCTTGCTATGTAGCCAAAGCTGACCTTGAACTTGTGTTCTCCCCCCACCCCTTCCCCACACCTCCCAGGTGTTGAGATTAGAATGGAGTTACTAGCTCTGGCTAGCACTGTGTTTTTCTTCTGAAAATGTCTTTGCCCCATTCTCTAGGGGTAGGTGCTTTTGCTGGGGACAGAATGGTAGCAGGTCTGTCTTTCCCCTGGGCACCCTGGCTGGTTGGTGTGTGGCTCACTTAGCTCTTCCCTTCTTAGTCAGCTGTCTCTTTCCTCCAGCTGTTTATAGTCTCCTCTTTGACTTTTGGCTTTCTGCATTTTTCCTAAGGTAGGTTCATGTATAGGACTCCTTGTAGGACTCAAAAGGACTCTGTGGTTTAGTGTAATTCATCGGTTCTAGAAAATCCTTGACTATTATTTTTTGAAAGTATTTTTCAACCCGTTCCTCTCTTCTCTCCTTCTGGGACTGCCCTTGCCCTGTGGCAGACCCTCTAGCTGTGTCCTCTCTCTGCTGCTTTCTCCTTTGTTTCCCTAGCTGGTTGCCTTACCCTGCACAACTGTCTTCGAACTCAGTGATTCTCTTCTAACGTGTTCATCCAACTGCCAAAAACAGACACTAGAGGTTTATTTGTTGGTTTAATTTAATTTAGCTGTTAGCTTTCCATTTCTAGAAGTTCAATTTGGTTGTTTTATAAATGTGCTCTGCTCCTCTCTATGACTTCCTATTCCCTGGAGTTCACCCCGTATTCCCTTGGGCAGTGAGTGTCTATCTGTGTTCTTGGTCCTGCTCATGTTGCCATGTTTCTTTGTGTGCCTGGTTATCTTTGACACGTGCTTATTCTGCCCATGAAGATGTAGTTGTGGGGTTCTGCAAGACTGAGGATGGAGGCCTGAGAACCCTTGCAACTGGGGACCACCTTACCCCAGGTTCATGCCCTGACATCCTATCCTAGCCTCCAAACCTAGCCTCAGCCAGGGCTCCAAGGTGCCTTGTTCCCAGAGCACCAAAGGCTGTTGGACCCTGCCCCAGCTGACTGGGGACTGCAGCTGATTGGCCCCCACTCCCCTTGGTTCAAAGGTGGCTCCGCAGAATGCAAAGACTCATAAGCACTTGTAGCTCTGACCCACGACTCTTCCCTCCCAGAATCCTCTGGGCTGGGGCTTGGTGCTTTCCTCTTGCCTTCCTTGTTGGAACCATCTCCTCAGCACTGCTGGCCCCAGGGCCCTGGCTCTGTCTATAAGGAATACAGAGGTGGTGGAAAGAGGCAGATGCTATGACACTAGGCTTAAGACTTTAAGAACATGGGACCTGTGCACATCCAAAGAGGGGAGGGTCCTCACCATTCCAGGGAAAAAGTGGAAGGGGTCAGGAGAGGCTCATGCTGGGTGTTGAAGGATGAATAGGAATTCACCAGGTAACTCAGCAAAGGGGAACTGTCTGTAGAAAGGCACACGTGTATGAAAGCTGGGGAGTTTCCAACTGTAGTGCTCCCAGGTGCTCTCCTAAAGGCTCCGCTCTGAACCCACTAGTTTCCCTTTTGGATGTTCTGCACTTGGACCTGTCACCATAGCCAGATAGTGGCTCCTGGCAGTCCCAAAGTACTCAGGCAGCCAGGTGACCCAAGATGGGGCTTCTTGCCTGCCCTCTCCCTGCTCAGATCCTGCCTCTTTCAGCTGTGTCCCTCCTCAACTCCCAGTGGGATCGTGAGAGGCTGGGCTCTGCCACCAGGTTGCTGTCACCTCGGGAAGTGTGGGGCCCCCTCTTGGCTAGCTTCCCTGATGAGACTGAGGACACTAATCATTTCCCAGGGCATTGGGACAGTTGGTGGCCCACAGTACAGACAGCATGGCTGGGTGGGGATGGGAACTGAGGGACCTTGTGAAACAAGGAGCACAGGCCCTCTGCCCTTGGACCACCAGCATCCCTGAAGAGGCAGTGAGCATCAAAGCCATCCTGGTAGCAATGAGTGCCACTCAGGTGAAAGTCATGGCCTTACCTAGTGTACAAGTCAGCAGTCAGCGTGCAGCCTGTGCGAGCATCTCCAGATGAAGCTGCTCTTCTCCCACGACAGCTTTGGATCTGGCATTTCAGGTTTGGGATTTTGAAGGTGGGGCCAAGGTAAGCACTCAAGCCCAGGCAGGTGGGCGGAGGGAGAGCCTACACTCTGTGTTCATTCCTGATCCAATTTTCTAAATTTAACTCTCGTTTTTAAATTGCAAATGGTGAACTCCCTAACACCTTGCCAGGGATCAAAGTCAGTTTGTGAATGCTCTTTGGAAGAAGGCATTTGGAAAATGAAATGGACAAAAGCACGGAGCACACCTGCCCTTCCCAGTGTGATGGCCCTAAGTAGGAAGGTGTAGGCAGCCAGTTGGCTCCCACGGGGGCCTGCATGGAAAAACCATGTTGGAGGGGTGGAGGGGACAGGTGCTAAGAAACAAATACAGTGGGTGTCCTGGGAAGTCCAGATATCCACCTGCCCTACAGGTCAGAGCTTTGGGTCAGCTCAAGGCCACCAGCTCAGAAAAGAAATGGAGCTCAGGAGCAGAGATTTGTATAGCATCTGTCCTAAGTGAGTTGACAGGGGCACAATCCACAAAGTTCTTTCCCCTGCTTGTCCCAACAGGCCCATTATGTCATAGATGAGCAAACTGGGGCTCAGAAAAGCCAAGCCCCATGCTGGCAGGGGATAGCCTGGGATCTGAGTTGGTCTCCAGGGTCCAGGTGCCCCACGATGCCAGGTGACCAGGGTGTGCCCAGCAGGAGAGGCCAGGAACCCAGGTGGACAGGGAGGTCATTGCAGCCCTGCCCCCAGAGCTCCCTGCAAAGCCTGATGCTCAGAGCTGACCAGTGGTGACACAAACCCACCGCAGCAAGGACAGCAATCAGCAAACAATGCAATACAAAAACATTCACAGAGAAGGTGGAAACAGGTTGAGGCTAAGTGGGAAGTGGGGTATCTGGAACTCAGGATCTGGGATGGGAAAGGCAGATGGGTGAGGCCCTTAGCAGGGCAGGCCTCCTTACACCTTGTGTCCAGGCCCATTCCAACATCACTCATTCATTTGAAGAACATGTTCAGGGCCTGCTCAGGCCTAGACCTGGGAGACACCTTATGACAGTGCTTATAAGGGCCCTGCATTCTTGGAAGAGCATATTACCTCTCTCAAATCATCTCTTCCACATGCCTGGTCTAGATGTGTAGAACCCTTGGTCTAGTATGGGCACATGACAAAAGTCAGCCAATCCAGGACCTTCTGTGGGACTTGTCAAATGGGAACAAAGGAGGCAGCCCCCACCTCCTCTCCGCAGCATCCCTGCTGGAAGGCTAAACCTAGACAAGGCCAATGCCTGGAGAGCACCAGAGACAGAAAGGGCAGGAGAGGCCTCCACCGACCCTTGGGTCCTGAGGCCAGGCTTGAGTATGGAGCTCAAACCCAGCCTTAGCCTGAACAGGCTCAACATTTATATCAGGAGGCCAGACTGTACCTAATATATGCTAATTGTTTTTTAAAGGCCAGACTAGCATTAGCACTCCCAACCACATGTCTTGAGTGCCCACTGCACACAGAAACCAGGACTGTGCAGACCCACTTTCACTAATGCCAGAAGAGGGTACTATCAGCTCTCTTTTCACAGATGGGGAAATCAAGGCACCAGGTGGCCAAACAGCTTACCTAAGGTCCCACAGTAATGAAAGGCAGAGGCAGGTCTGTCTGATTCCCAAGCCTGTGTCCTGTCCACAGGAACACCTTCATGTGCCAGCAGCCAGGGACATAGCAGGATACAGAACCCCAACCTGGGAAACTTGTATTACATGTTCATGTGTATGCCAGGGCAGGGTAGCACCAGGTAGAGCATGGTGCTCTGAGGGAAAGGAGGCTGAGCTGTCCCCCTGATGCTTCTCATTTGTGCAGGGTAAGAGAGGAGGGAGGGACAGTGGCCTAGGAACAAGGGCAGTGAGTGCAAAGGTCCTGAGGCAATGGAAAGCAAAGGAGGCAGCAACTAGCATGCCAGGGGTAGGGGATGACCTGGGCTGCCTGTGGCCACAGGAGGGGGAAAAAGGGACAGAGGCCAGAGGTATGAGTGAGAGGCCAGTAGGCAGTGAGGTGAGAGAAAAATGCTCACATCCTGCAACAGGTTCTATGCAATGTGGACTCAGCCTGACTCCCTTGGCCACCCTGCCCAGGCTAGTGACTGTGTCCCACCCCTCTAGGTACTTCCATTTTTGTCATAAACTAGGTTCACTGGACACAGAGTACAGTTATTTCCAACAAATCAGCCTAAAACAGAACTTGGTCCCCCAGCCCAAGCCCTCACCAGGCCTGCCCAGCAGCACTCTGTGCCACTGGGGCCCTGTGCTTGCATGGGCCTGGAGAGCCCAGTCATCCATCCCCGATGTAGGGGACGTAGGGTTACACATACCCAGCTTAATCTCCTTCCCTTGGCTCTACCTATGCCCCCCAGGCTCAGCTCTAGCTTCCTCTCCCCTAGGCCAGGTACAAAGTTGCTGCTGCCTCAGCAATATCTACCATGTGAACAGCTCTGGGCCTAAGGTGGCATGGGGCAGAAAACAAGAATGAAGGCAAAAGCATCTGGCCTTGGGACAAGGCCCGCCTCTGGCCCTTTTCCTGATCTTCCCTCTGCCAGGGACACCTCTCCTGTGGAGCCCAAGAAGGTCCCCAACGCCCCTTAGATGCTTTGAAACCAATGTTCTCACAAAGCATGGCCACTCAGCCCTCCAAGGACTGGGCACCCGCTGTGCTCAACATCCAGAGCCTTGCCCCTCTGACCTCCAACAAACCTGCAGACTGCTCTTCTGACCACCCACTTCACAGATAAGTAAACTGAGTCTGGGGGAAGGTGCCACAGTGACCATGGACCTGGGACTGGATCTGGAATCTGGGAGGGATGTTGCTGGTGCCCTGAGATGGCCCATGGGCCTCCTCTTCATATCTTCTGCATTTCCACACTGACTTCCCTGCAAGGGACGCTCTCCTCACCAGCTGAGGTTGGCCTCCTTCAGGAAGGCATCCGAGGTGCTATGGTCCCTACCCTTACCTATCAGTAGGCTCCTGGGCTCTTAGAGCACCCACCTCAATTACAGGTATGGAATGGTTCAGTGTGCACTGGCCTGCCCAAGTCCTGGGAAGCCAAGCTTCCTCCCAGACCAGTGACTCAGGCTCTTCAGGGCACCTTTGCTCCTTCCTAGGATAGATACATGGCTGTGGTCAGCATGGGCATCTGACTGGCAATGGACAAAAAGCCCACTGGGGACCCCAAGGCTTGGGCAGAGCAGGGACCCAGTTGGCCATACAGCATGGTAGGAAAGAGGTGCCAAGGAGCTATGAACTTGCTGAGCTCCATCCAGCACAGAGCTCCCAGGGACAGACTCAAGACCCAGAACCTCACTGTCTTCAGAGATACCCCTCTCAGAACTAGCAGATCAACTGTACCCCCCTCCCCACCCCCTTCCTCTATGTCTGCAGAGCCCCAGTAGATCTGGAAGTTGAGCAAGAGGCAGGGGAAGCTACTAACACGTTTGTTGCCAAAGTCATATGAGAAACAGCAGAACACACATTTATTGGATATCAGCAGCAGCCACATGGCAGGTGCTTTCCCTAAAGCAGTCCTCATACCCTGAGACAGGTTCTTGCCCCCATTACACAGAAGAGGAAACTTAGGCTCAGCAGGGGGTGGAGGCAGCCTCTGCCCAGGTCTGAAGCCAGTCTCTGCACATACCCCCTCCCCGAAGAAGGGAGCCCCAGCCTGCTGACATCAGTGCCAGATCTTGATGTCTCCTCCCCAGGAGCAGGTACCAAGGACAGAGGGTAGCACGGGGTGGTAGGTGGTGCCAAGGCAGGCCTGCGTATGCCCCTGCAGCGTGCAGGCCCGGCTGGCAGTACGGAAGCTGAACATCAGGACCCGGCCATCAGCACTGCCCGTCACCAGCAGGTCACCACATGGGGAACATTCACAGCCTACTGCATAGCCTTCCACCTGTAGAGAGCAACACCAGGGGTGAGCAGGCCACACTGCTCTTTGAGGTTACCTGTGAGGCACACAAGCTGGCAAGGAGCAGGGGTGGGCTTCATACTCAGGGACCCCGAGGCCAAAGCCCATGCCCCTTCCTGGCATGGGCCCTGTGTCCCAAGGTTGGTCCAGTGGAATCGGGCTGCAGCAGCTTCAGCACAGCTGCAAATCTGGCCTAAAGGACAGTCACCAAGCCCCTAGCCCCTTCTGCCCCAGCAAAGCAGGCCTCAGGCAGGAAAAGGGCCTGTTCCTATTCCCACCCCATGATCTATCTGTGTGAACTGGCTACTGCTTATCTGCCTAGTGGCTGGGCACCAGGTGTGGCCAGGGTCTTGAGTAGACCCTAGCCAGACATGGCACAGAGTCACCAGGGAAAGAGGAAGCAGAATCTACCCTGACAGGAGGTCCATGCACACTGGGGTCCCACTTCCATTCTTGGGGTTGCCCAGAAGGAGGCTCTGGGGCCAATGCTCAGTATTTGACCTGGGGGATAAGGACAGGGTACCTTGTGCCCTTCATAGCGCCGCCGTCTGCTCATCCGGTAGGGCCACACAGCAGAGAAGAGAGCCAGGTAGTTGCCATTGGTCTGTGCCAGGAACACAGGCTCCTTCGGGTGCAAGGCAAGGCTGGGGCAGGTGTACCTCTCCTGCAAAAGAACAGGACCACAGAGGGTCTTCTGGCTACCAACAGCCACCTTGTACTCTGCTCTTGGGGCCTTCTCCCCACACCCTTCTCCCAACACCTTGGTGAGGGATCTGTATGAGTTTCCTGTTGCTGCTGTAACAAATGACCACAAACTCAGTGGCTTAAAAAACACAGATTCACTCTCCTACAGCTCAGATGGTAGCAGTCTGACAAGGGCTTCACTGAGGTAAAACCACAGTGTCAGCAGGATTGTATCCCTCCTGCAGGCTAGAGGGGGGAATCTCATTTCTTTGCCCTTCTTCAGTTTCCAGTAGCCACCTGCAAGCCTTGTGGTGGGCTGAAAGCTGGTTCTCCCCAAGTATGTCCATGTCCTGATTCCTAAGGCCTGTGCATGTTACCGCAGATGGTGAGCAACGGGTTAGGGGCCTGGGAAGGAGGAGATTATCTTATAGCATTGCCCTGGATGCCAGCACTCATGTCCCAAAAACACAAAGGCAGGGGAGACTTGACACACACAGTGAGGGCAATGTAGAGATACAGCAGAGAAAGATCTGAGGATGCTGGCCTTGAAGGTATCCAAGGAATGCCACCAGCCCCCAGCAGCCAGAGAGGCAGGAAAGCTCATTCCCTGCATCTTGAGAGGGATCTCATCCTTCCCACACCTTAATTTCGACCCAAGAATTTGTAACATTTATTAAGAATTTCCAGCCCCTAGACCTGCGAGAGAATATAAATTTGCATTATTTTAAGCTACCAAGTCTGTGGTCATGTTTCACATAGAAGACTAACACACAAGCCCATCTCCCCACCTACACAGTGAGACACTAGGAGAAGCCCACACCAACAGAGGACCAGTGAGTGAGGAAGTAAATGACCAGACAAGAAGATAAAGACAGAAGCGAACTATTCAAAACATTCCTGCCTCACACTGGGTCTCTGCTGGGCCCTTTCAGGCAGAAGGCCCTCAGTGCCCAGATGTGCCCCCTTAACCCCACAAAGTGTGTTGCATTGGAAAAGCCTGCAGTGAAGTCTACAGGTAGCTTTGCTCAGGTTTACCTAGAACACTGTAAGAACAGGAGAGGTCAGGGAGAAGGTATGCATGTACATGATAAATATTTTAAAATTCAGGGTGGGGGCACCAAAAAGATTAGTTATGGCTTATTTGAAATCTCAAATGATGATCGTGGCAGTAGTGGTACTCATGGTAGTGGTGGTGATGGTGATGAAGTGGTGGTGGTGGTAGCGGTGATGGTGATGGTCACAGTGATGGTGGGTGGTGATCATGGCAATGGTGGTGATGGTGATGGTGTTGGTAGTGATGGTGAGTGATGATGGTGATGGTGGTGGTGGCGGTGGTGGTGGTGATGGTGATGGTCACAGTGATGGTGACGGTGGTGGTAGTGGCAGTATAGTGGTGGGTGATGATGGCAATGGTGGTGATGGTGGTGGCAGTGATGGTGGTGGTAGTGATGGTCACAGTGATGGTGATGGTGGTGGTGGTGGTGGTGATGTTGATGGCAATGGTGGTGGTGGTGATGGTCACAGTGATAATGTGGTAGTGGCGGTGATGGTGGTGGTGGGTGATGATGATGGTGATGGTGGTAGTGATGACAGTTAAAGTATAATGGAGCACTCCCTATGCCTAGCACCATGCTATGCCCTTTATGAGCTCTCTCTCTCTCTCTCTCTCTCTCTCTCTCTCACAATTCTCAAAGGTACTCTATGAGGTGAGTAATATTATCATCCTCAGTTTTCTAATGAGGAAACTGAAAGTCAAAAAGGTTAAATGCTTTCAAATTCTAAGTTTAGGACTCCTGCTCTGAATTCCTGTGTCACCTGCCAAAGGTACTGCAAAAGGGAAAATCAGGCATCCCTGCCAAAGGTACTGCAAAAGGGAAAATCAGGCATCCCTTCTGTGTGGTGGCAGAGGGAGAATGGGGACTCTCAGGTGGCATGGCCATCTTTCCCATCCATCTGAATGGGGCTATCCATGCCTGCAGTGGCTATGCTGGGACAGGAAAGCAGAAGGAGAGTTGCCCTACAGAAGGCTCTCCATTTGTGCAGCAGGCCTGGACCTCACCTTTGCCTACCCCCTTTTCAGAGACTTCAAGCAACTGAATCCCCTCCCACAGGAAGTGGCCCAGGATCCCAGGCAGATGAAGGGTACAGGGATGCACCCTGAGGCAGAAATCAAGAACAGTGCCAAATAGGCTTTCTCACGTGGAAAATCTGGTTGGAGATTTTGGCAGAGCTCCGGAAATCCCAGGCGATAATGGTGCGGTCAGCAGAGTCCCGAGTGGAAGCATCCGTGCTGCTCAGGAACTCGGACCCTTCCTGGAGGAAGAGGATGTCCAAGGTCTGCTGGATGGTCGCCTTGTAGCCTCTCACCACCTGCAAGGGTGGGCAATAGTCACACTGGCAGCTGCAGGAGCACAGGCAGGTGCCCAGCCAAGGAAAGCCAAGGAGAGCTGCCAAGCACCCAGGGGATGGGCAGGTTTAATGAAGGCCATTCTGAGTCACACACACTCTGGTTGAGCAGCCCCAAGCACAGGCAGGTCCCTGTGTCATGGGACCCTCCTGCTTCCCACCAGGCCAATATCTTTTTCTCTTGAGAGCTCCTGTGATGCCTCCCAGACGTGAACACAGCCTAATGGCCATGGCTACCCACCCCTGTTGTCGTGTGGGCACGTTCACTGAGGCACCATCATCTTCCCAGGCAAATGGAGCCCCTTGAAGGCAGCTGGTACTAGTGATAGCACACTGAGGAAGGGCTCATGCCTTGTCCAAGGGCACCTAAAGAGCACAGTGATTTCCATCAATACTGGCATCATATTTTGTGAAAAGGTCTGAAGGTGTCACATAATTCACAGCTCGCAAAGCCCTGGACTATTGTCCCTGGAGGAGTGACAGTAATGCAGGGAACAAGCATTCTTGGAGACAGACCATAAAGCCAGAATCACAGGACGTATTTTAGCTTTAAAGACATGTTTTATTTTCTAAGCATCATAACCGATGTTTCACAGCCTCCTGACTCCTAAACTACCACTGTGGAGCATCACGCATTGCTCTGCTTCTTCAGAGCAGGTTATTGCACCTATCTCCTGCTCTAAGACACCTGGTCAGAGTAGGGTGGGGACCCAGGACTAGGACTCACAACTCCACTCAACAAACTAATAGATGACATGATATTAAATTGCAATACTGAAATACCAGGCCAGTGTGCCCACCTGCTGTGATGGAAGCAGAGCCAGGTCTCTGGCAGCCTGCTGGGCATGCTGCCCACAGGGTTACCAGCTCCCAGGGCGCCACCATGTGGCTATAGCCTACACACAGTTCTCAGGTCCCAAGGCTCTGCCAGCGGTGAAATAAACGATCTTGACAATTTTTTTTTTAATTTTTTAAAATTGACACCTTTCAAACTTTTAAACTTTTATTTTCCATTATCCTCTTTCAAATATATATATTCAATTCACAGCATGTACAGCACTCCATAAATTTAGTTTAGACCAGGGAGGGGGGTGTTGAGAACCACTCTCCAGCAGAGGCTCACTGAGCTCAGAGAGACATAGGGATCTGTATCATACAACTTCACATAACCAGGGTAAGGGGAACCTGTCCCCATCCAAGCTGCACCCCTGAGACCTACAACTCAGTCTCCCGCAGCCAATTCCTATGTCTGTTAAGTTCCTGGGGGCAAATTCCTGTGCAAGGGTGGACAACAAATGATTGCTCTTCTCTGAATCCCTTTACAAGCAGCCTTCAGCTAGGGTGACCTCAGGGTGGGCCCCTGAAGAGGGAAGAGCAGTCAAGGAGTAGGAGAGAGGCCATTCCTGTTGAGCCCTGAACACAGGATGGGCAGCTAGGCTGCCCTCACTGATGCTCACAGCAAGGGAGCTGCCTGTGGCCTGCCTATCTTTCCCATGTACCAGGAGCCTATGGGCACAGGGGACACCAAGTCTCACAGGGCAGCCAGGAGCCCAGGGGCTGTGCTGCTCCTGAGATGGTGCTGCTGGCCAGATCTGGAGGTGGAACAGAATCTAGGGCCCGGATGTGGCACATCATTGCAGTTCCCAACATCTGTTCTCTTGAGCTTGCACAACATCCAGCTCCCAGGAACACTGCTGTTCCACGACAGCATGTGGAAAGTACTTGGCAGAAAAGGAGGTGAGGCACGGTTCATGGTTCTCTCATTACAGCTCTGGAACAATGTCCTTACCAGCTTCAGGTCCATATGCTCCTCTTGTCCCCCAAGTTCATCTAATCCCATCTCACTTAAACCACCCTCTCTGTGGGTCACCACAGGGCTTCCAATGCCCTTAGCCAAACTGGGTTTGGATGCCTGCTGTCCCCATTCTCCATCATGGAAGCAGGTTGTTCAGAAATGCCTAGGGCACCAAATGCCAAGAGAGGAGCAAGTCTGGCCCAACAGGTACCATTCACTGAGGTACTCGTCCTCCCTTGTGGACAGATATGGACAACCCCAGAGCCCCACCAGCCCATACAGAACAGCTGTTGGCAGGCACCCACCTGTGCCTGGCAGCTCTCAGCTCCCTAGCAGAGCCGTGAGCTTCCATATGGCCTTAATGCCAGTCCCCAGCCATGGCCCTGCAGACTCACAGGGACTGATCAAGCAAAGGATGGAGGCAGTTGGAGGCCCTCCCTTCTACTTGTGAGTTAAGAAACAGCCCAGAGGCAGCTTCTCCACAGAGAGGGGACATGCCCCAGGGTCATCGGCCATCCATAGCAGAACTCCTGCATGCCCTGTCAACACGGCACCTGCCTCCCAAACGTCTCGAGGAGAATGAAAGGCATTGTTCTGGACATTTTCTCAGAATGTCTGGAAATGGCCCAATTCATTAGAGCATAATAAAAGCAAATGGCCAGGAAACCAGCCGTGTTATGGGCGCTCCCTGCCAATGAAAGCCAGCTGTTAGTGGAGGGCTGGCCTGCGGACTGCTTGTCCCTACACATGACTGATGTACCTTCCCACTGTTTCCTTGCACAGAGAGAGGGCAGAGGAGCCATTTGCATGGCTAGCTGGTGGGTTTATAGCACCCTTGATGACACTGACAGCTGGTGCCTCCCATCCCAGGGCTTAAGTCACCACTCCCAGGCATGACTAGCTGGATCAGAAAGCGGAGCCTTACCCGGTCTCCTCTGGCAGCCGAGGGCCCATGTCAGATAACCGGGCACTTGGCCTTGGGGAAAGTGCGAGGTGAACCAGGACATATTCAGGCATGATGACAACCACCTGGTGGCTCTAAAAATCTGCCTGCCAGCTATCCTGGCCATTCTGGGCTGCTGCTGATGCATCTGAAGGCACAGCTGCCTTTCTTGGGCCCCTTTCACAGAATGCAGGGCTGCGTACAGATGGCCCATGCTTTCTTCTCCCTAAGAATGTGCACATCAGTCTCTTCAAGTACTGGGGTGCAAGCAGTCCACACACACAGGTAACTGGAGTGTGAGCATGGGACCCATTCATAAAGTTTAAGTAAGTGCACACAGGTAAAAGGGGTCAATCACATAGGATAGTGACCATGTCAATATATTACAAAAAAGCCCAAAAATGTACATTGAAAAAAAAGAAACCATATAAATCTGAGAAGAAAATATGGTTGAATTTCTCTACAATCTGGGACTTAGAGAAACTTTCCTGGCTGTAACTCCAAAGCCAGAAGCAGTAAGATAAGATGAGTAATCTTGACTACATGAAAATAATCGTTAAAAAAAAAAAACACTCTTGCACAGTAGAAAACAAGCAAGTAAATAAATAATAGATAAATTAAAAAGACAAGTGGAAGAAATATTTGCAACTTACAGTAGCGGTAATGTGGTTGCTCTCTGTAATACATAGAAAGCTTCTAAAAGCAGATGAAGACCACAGCTCTACAGAAAAATGGGCAAGAGAACAGAGCTCATTAAAAAGAAAGGGGTCCTTCCACTGTACTCAAACAGAGCAATGCCAATTTAAATTACCCAGGATGCCATTTCTCACCTATCAAATTAGCAAAATCTCAGTCTCACAGTACCGCCATTGGCTGGCTGTGGGGGTGTTGTACATGAACTCATTGCTGCAAGAAATGCAAACTGCACAAACCCTGACAAGGAGTTGAGTACCTTCAAGCAAAACCACAGGTGCACTGTTACTCAGTGATGCATCATCCAGCACCCACTTCTAAGAACTGATACCAAAGCTACACAGGCAAAATCCCAAGATGTTAGCAGGGCACCATAAACAACAGCACTACTTGTGAAATTAGAGAACTGGGAACAACCAGTGACCACAGAAAAAAGCCTGGTGAAGCAAGCAGGTGCTGGTGACTCACACCTTATAATCCTAGCTATTTGGGAGGATCATGGTTTGAGGCCAACCTGTACAAAAACATTCATGAGACCCCAACTTAGCAAATAGCTGGGTGTGGTGGTGCATGCCTGTCATCCCAACTATGTGGAAAGCTGAGATTGGGAGGATTGTGGTTCTGGGCCAAACTGGACGAACTACCTCAATGGAAAAAGTCTAGCCATGGTGGCATGCACCTATCATCCCAGTGACCGAAGGATGCATAAAATAGGAGGATTACAGTCCAGGGTGGCCTGGGCAAAAAATAAGACCATATTTCCAAAATAACCAGAGCAAAAAGGGTTGCTGGTGTGGCTCAAGCAATAAAAGCACCTGCCTCACAAGTGCAAAGCCCTGAGTTCAGACCCCATAGGACATCTGCACTATGGAATGGAACACTGTGGAGTAGCGGCAAGAATGAGGCCTCTCTCCCTGCCCTGGCGTGGGCAATCTTTGGGACCCAATGCTTAGCCAAAATATGCCAAGTAGGAGAAAAAGTGTGCAAAGTAGGTAAATAAGAGATGAGGAACAAAAGTGTGTTTGCAGACATTTTAAAAAGATAGAAAAACCATAAACAAAAATAAGTCAATAAAAGACCACTTCTAAAGAAAGGGAGGGAACAGAACAGAGGAGACGGGATCATGGGTAGAACTTTGATTGTTTTCTTTTAGATATGACTCCAGAGTAGGGGTTACAGATTTTTTTTCTATAAAGGTCCAGACTGTTGCAGTGTGTGTGTGTGTGTGTGTGTGTGTGTGTGTGTGTGTGTGTGTGTGTGTGTGTAGAACTGGTTAGAAGTGTAAAAATCATTCCTAGATCAAGGGTCACATAAAAACAGGTCACAGGCCAGACTGACCCCATAAGCTGTAGTTTGCCAACTCTTTCTCTAGACTCATGTATATATTTTGTTAAATTAAATTATATAACAAAATTCACTTACAAAGCAATTTTTAAAATGTGAAAGCAAAATTAAGCAAATGAAATTAACCATGTATTGATTTGGTAGCTTAACCACACAAATAGGATTTCTTTAAGAGACTTTAAACTATAG